TGCTTTACTGAACAGTCTATTCTTACTTTTGATTCCTGCTTTTGATCCTGGTATATCTTATCTACTTTTTTGCCTCAGAAATTTTTTATATTTTTTTTTTTTGTGATGTGTTAAGCTCTATGCTTCCAATTGTCTTTTCACTTTGCTGCTGACACACCTGAATTTTCCCACAGACAAGAAAGGATATTTCTATTTATTTCAATTATATTCTATTTTGTTCTAAATTACTGATATATTATTGCTATACATTTTCCAGTATATTATATTTACAAACATTTTAGTATGTCACCTTGCATACATTCATGCGGAAACCCTATTCTAATCCTGCTTTAAAACACATACATGCACATGCTACATTTACATTTAGTGCAAACATTAATTAAACATTATTAAGATTTTCTACTAAAAGTAAAATCAAAGCAAAATAAAATTTTTACTTGAAACTTTATGTTTTTTAAATTGCATCAATAAAGAATTCAATAAATAATGCATGGGTATGGTCTATATTATTTGGAAAAATTTAAAAATAAATGAATATAACCTGTGCCTGTGCTGATTACGTGTAGTGAAGCACTATGCAGAGCTTTCAAATATAATCTATCAGTTACATTACAGGAGCAATGCATGTAGTGATTTGCAAAATAATCCATACATCTTAAACCTAATCATGTTTTTCTAAATTAATTTCACAAACATCTTTTTTTGGTGGTGGTTGTAGTGATGGAATGCATCAACACAATGTAAAGCAATTACAGGTTTCACAGTTTTGTTCATATGTAAATCTGGAAAGTGTGGCATGCATTAGTATCCAGCACTGCTGAGTCATTTAGCAGCTGGTCGTATATTGGTAGCTATGAAGCTTAATGCGTAAATTCCATCTGGAAGGCTCTAATCAGCCTCACCTCGATAACCTGCTGGTGTCCCATATTTCATTCATCGAGCCAATCGCCATTGGGACCGCACCCCCTCTGAAGCAAATCCCCATCTAAGATCCAAGTGATGGGTCCAGCTCTCTTCCTGCATAACAGCTGATGTCCTACCCACCTCCTCCCCATCTCCTCTATCAAGAAATTAGTCCTTGGACATTAAGCGCCAATTCATCATCATACTTATTTCGCTAGCAGTGTCCGGACCCCTGTGGGAAGACTAAGGCCCCGTCCACACGAAGTCAAAATGAACACGAAACGCTAATATTTTCCAGAACGTTTGTCGTAAAGACGGAGACGTAAAATAAATGTGATCGTCCACACGAATGCATGAAAACGCTGCAAAATGTATGCCAGGCCTGTAAGTGGCGCTGTGGTGCCAAAGCAAAAATAGGCGACGAAATGTTGGGCATGCGCACTAATATTTATACATGGTTGCCCTGCGGGTCCATTTTCGTGGTTCAGTCAAATTCAGGTGCTGAACTATGTGGTTGATATTGCTCTGTTCTTCCTGGAGATATTCCAGAAGAAGAAGATTCTGTTGTAAGCCCGACAGCAGGGTGAGTAGCATGAGCAGCAACCATTCAGCACAGTACGGCGCCATTGTTGTTGTGATACTGTGTCGCGCTTGCGTGTTTAGAGGCGACGCTATGACGCATGCGTGTAAGAAAAAAAATGCGGTTGGAGCTTAAAGATGGAAACGCGAAAACAGCGTTTCAAAATCTTCCCACTCTGAAGGCTTAATAAAAAAAAGATTGTTTACAGACCCCCGAAACGCCAGCTTTGTATGGATGAGAGGCTGGTTTGGTGAATAATTTGTGCGTTTAGGCCAGGGTTTGGCTTCGTGTGGACGGGGCCTAAGTGTACTTCGTCTTAAACCATTCATGCGATCATGTATAATTTCACAGCACCAAGATCTTCGGCCGGGCTTTGAGCGCTAAAGAATTTATCTCATTCATGGCCTTAAACTATTCTAGTTAGAAATTTTCTTTGTGTGAGTATCTTCAAAAAATATATGTAACTCAGTGCAACTGTCATCAGTATACAGGTGCTGGTCATAAAATTAGAATATCATGAAAAAGTAGATTGATTTCAGTAATTCCATTTAAAAAGTGAAACTTGTATATTATATTCATACATTACATACAAACTCATATATTTCAGATGTTTATTTTGTTTAATTTTGATGATTACAAATGACAACAAATGAAAATCTCAAATTCATCATATCAGAAAATTAGAATATTACTGAAGACCAATAAAAACAAAGGATTTATAGAAATGTTGGCCAACTGAAAAGTATGAACATGAAAAGTATGAGCATGTACAGCACTCAGTATTTAGTTGGGCCTCCTTTGGCCTGTATTACTGCAGCAATGCGGCGTGGCATGGAGTCGATCAGTCTGTGGCACTGCTCAGGTGTTATGATAGCCCAGGTTGCTCTAATAGTGGCTTTTAGCTCTTCTGAATTGTTGGGTCTGGTGTATTGCATCTTCTTCTTCACAATACCCCATAGATTTTCTATGGGGTTAAGGTCAGGAGAGTTTGCTGGCCAATTAAGAACAGGGATACCATGGTCCTTCAACCAGGTACTGGTAGCTTTGGCACTGTGTGCAGGTGCCAAGTCCTGTTGGAAAATGAAATCTGCATCTCCAAAAAGTTGGTCAGCTGCAGGAAGCATGAAGTGCTCTAAAACTTCCTGGTATGTGGCTGCGTTGACCCTGGACCTCAGAAAACACAATGGACCAACACCAGCAGATGACATGGCACCCCAAACCATCACTGACTGTGGAAACTTTACACTGGACTTCAAGCAACGTGGATGAAGTGCCTCTCTTCTTTTCCTCCAGACTCTGGGACCTTGATTTCCAAAGGAAATGCAAAATTTACTTTCATCAGAGAACATGACTTTGGACCACTCACCAGCAGTCCAGTCCTGTTTCTCTTTAGCCCAGGCAAGACGCTTCTGACGCTGTCTGTGGTTCAAGAGTGGCTTGACACAAGGAATGCGACAGCAGAAACCCATGTCTTTCATACGTCTGTGTGTGGTGGTTCTTGAAGCACTCACTCCAGCTGCAGTCCACTCTTTGTGAATCTCCCCCACATTTTTGAATGGGTTTTGTTTCACAATCCTCTCCAGGGTGCGGTTATCTCTCTTGCTTGTACACTTTTTTCGACCACATCTTTTCCTTCCCTTCGCCTCTCTATTAATGTGCTTGGACACTGAGCTCTGTGAACAGCCAGCCTCTTTAGCGATGACCTTTTGTGTCTTGCCCTCCTTGTGCAAGGTGTCGATGGTCGTCTTTTGGACAACTGTCAAGTCAGCAGTCTTCCCCATGATTGTGTAGCCTATAGAACTAGACTGAAAGACCATTTAAAGGCTTTTGCAGGTGGTTTGAGTTAATTAGCTGATTAGAGTGTGGCACCAGGGGCCATCAATTTTGAACCTTTTCACAATATTCTAATTTTCTGATATGATGAATTTGAGATTTTCATTTGTTGTCATTTGTAATCATCAAAATTAAACAAAATAAACATCTGAAATATATGAGTTTGTATGTAATGTATGAATATAATATACAAGTTTCACTTTTTAAATGGAATTACTGAAATCAATCTACTTTTTCATGATATTCTAATTTTATGACCAGCACCTGTAGAGGAGTTCATTTTTCAAAGAGCAGTAGATATTTTTCTGTGTTAATCAGTAGTATAATGTGTTATTATAATATATATTATGAAATAAATTGCAAACAAATTGAAATCTAAATTAGTCATTTTTTTCTTTAAATAAGTAAAAATTTTTCTTGAATTGAGGAAGTAAGGGGAACACTTTGCCAAAGGAATTAATCAATTTATATTTAAAACAAGAAAAAAACAATTGCATTGTCCTATTTCAAGTGCATGTTATCTAAGCATCTTATTTTAAGTGTAAAAATACATTGGAAAATCATCTTACTTACTGACTCAAATTAAGGGTATATATACTTAATTTAAGAAATGTATACTTATTTCTAGATCGTTTTTGCAGTGTAGCTTCTCTTGTAAAGTCTATTTTTTGGCTGTTGTGCATACAGGTATGGTGCAAAAAAATGACAATATGCAGTGGCATCTTTACTATTATTAAAGTTATATATTAAAATCATTGGCTTTGTCTCCTGTTTTTTTATTATTGGGCTGTTTGAAAAAATTTTTTTAGGGCATCTGTTGGCAACCTTCTTTCTCTTTAATTTTTTTAAACTACAATATCATTCAAAATAAAAGAAAGAAAACATTTCTTTTAATTAAGAAAACTGCTAAAAAGTGCTTTATGCATCTGGAGTTTCTGAAAAGATGATTATGTGGCTGTTTCTAAGTGACATTACTTTTAGGAATTTCAACAACAGTGATTGGTTGTGACATTTGGAATAATCTAGATGCCAGAAACTACTCTGCCTTGGTTGTGCCTCTAAGTCCTCTTATAGAAATTGTTCCAACTTTTTTATATTTCAAACAAATGGAAAATATTTTGCCTCATCTTCTCTGCCTGCATTTTCTATACATTGTGACCATTCCTGCATTCTGTGTGCAGTGCTGTTGCAAACTACAGTAGCCTTAGGGAACACATATAAATCCCTTCTGATCTTCCAAACCCTCCATTCTGACAGCTAGTAGCACACGCAAAATCCTCATTTGAATAGGGCAATATGCAACACTTTTGCACCTGTTCTAAATTGAGCACAAAGCCTAGTAAATTCATTGCAGCACACCATTTATATCAAATGTATTTTTTGTTTGTTTGTTTGCACAAGCAATTTTGCACTCCTTACATCAGGTCCTGTTTCTGTTCACTGAATTGGAATTGCAGTGTACTTCACAGTAATGACACACAATAGCCCATTTAGCAGTAAAACAATGAACATTTAGTATGCCCTTGAGAGAAGTATTTAGTGTGCCCTTTTCATGACTGTCTTGCAGTCTTCTGCAAGTATTAAGAATGTAGTTTTAGCCCTTACATGATTCTGTATATACATTCTTATCAATGGGTAGCTCTAGGGGGTAATAGTGTATCCTCTCCTGTGTGTCTTGTTACAGAGATTTGTTTGCTGACACGAGGTAGGAGGACAGCCAGTGTCCGAGCCGATACATACTGCCGTTTGTACTCGCTCTCTGTGGACAACTTCAATGAGGTGCTGGAGGAGTATCCTATGATGAGAAGGGCTTTTGAGACGGTTGCCCTGGACCGACTGGACCGAATTGGTGAGGAAGTTAACATAACAACAATGACATCACTTAAGACAGCATGCGCATCCAAGCAAAGTAAAAGATATTCTGTGACATTTGCAATAACCTTGAGTGTTTTTCAAGGCTGCATTTGGAAACAGGAGAAACAGCATGTTCTTACTGAAGCTAAATTCAAAGTCATCTGCATGCAAACATGAAGCTGGGCTTTGAGGTTTAAGTCTCTGCATGACTTCTTTTACACATGCAATTGATATTCTCTCTGTATCCATCATTGTTTCAAAGCTCAGTCTGGCTGGGGGAAAAAAAGCATCATAAAAGGCATGGTGGTAACATCATTCAACCAATCATGGAATCCTCTGATTTACTCTTAGCTGTGTTTTGAATGGAAGATAAGACATGTGCTCGAGGGGTTAACTTTGTAGAAAATGGCTGCTTTAAAATTATGCAGTTAGCTAATAGTGATATTTTTCTAGAATGCCCTCCTGCATGTTTTATTTCTGTTTGATACTCATCCTCTTTTTCCTCCTGCACTTTCTAAGGCAGTCTAAAATTATTTATCTTTGCATTATCTGTTTCATGTCGTCTGAGGTAAAAGATTGGTGTTACAATGACTAGGCTCTGCTTGTCATAATAGAAGCTAAAGAACCATGTATATGGTAGATATTTTTGCCTTGTCTTATAGGTAATCAGATTTATATTAATGCCAACTGAAAACAACTACCTTGTAAACTAACCCTGCCAGTGCACATTCAATCCTTTCACAGTCAGCAAGGTTGAGTAGGAACTTAAAGCGTGTCCTATGACACACTAGTTTCCTAAGGTAACTAAGGGAGCTCATAGTTAGAATGAATGAGATTTGAATAGAGCGTTCATTAGCACAAATTGCTTAAAGGCTTTTTCCCAGCAGGGGTGTGACACTTTGATAATATTTTTTCGACACATATTACTTAAACAAATGCAACACTCCACAAAACTTGTACTTTAAAGATCAGGAGCTCAAATCTGTTTGATAAGGATAATATATATACCCTTATATTTGGAAAAAGCTGTTTAAAGACATTTTTGTTAAAAAGTCCTTTTAATATCAACCTGTTTTAAACAGGATTCTACTCATTATTTCCTCTTGTCTTCTCACACTTGCTTTTTTGTGTATGTGTGTTGGTATTTCTCCTACAGGGAAGAAAAACTCCATTCTTCAACACAAGGTACAACATGATCTAAGCTCTGGGGTACTCAACTACCAAGAGAATGAGATCATCCAGCAGATTGTCCAACATGACAGGGACATGGCCCACTGCGCCCACCTTATGCAGAACGTACCTCCACAGACGCCCCCATCACCAACGCCTGTCATCTGGGCCCCTCTCATCCAGGCTCCCCTCCAGGCTGCTGCTGCCACCACCTCAGTAGCCATCGCACTGACACACCATCCTCACCTCCCTCCAACCCTTTTCAGACCTCCAGTCTCAGTTCTCAGTTCCCTAAAGGACCCCTCCAGACTAAGAAAGTTCCAACCATTTGTTTCTTCCTCCACAGCACCCGGGTCTTCTGGTGACTCTCTGTCTAGCACACCCTCTAAGCTACGCTCTGGGATGGACATGCCTTTGCTTGCATCCTTTCAGGCTCAGCATATGACAGCTGGTTCTGGGTCAATTGGTTCAACACGACAAGGCCCAGGCTTAGGAGGTCGACCTAATGCGGCTGGGTCTCAGTCCAGTGAACGGGGTACCACTGTCTTTCCTTTTGGTCTACAGTCATCCTCAGGTTCTCCCTCTTCTAGTATGGCACAACTTCATCCACAACCACAGTCTCAACAACCGTTTCGATCCACCACCCCACCCCTTTCAAATCTCTTTCACCAAACACCTGTAAGTGGAAGCACTGGATCAGGACTAGGTGGGGGTGCTGCTGGAGCATGTGAGGGTGCTACCGGATGGGCTTCAGGAGATGCAGCTGGAGGTTCTGTGGAAGGAGCCTCTGGTGGAGACACCTTTTGGGCTGGGGAGGACTTCACAACAGGGGTGACAGACATTACTTCTAGGGGCTACTTTGACTTAAAACAAGCAAATGACGGATTAATACATGGCAAGTCAGAGGACATAGTTGGTGGAAAATCAGAAGGCTTAATGGGAGCTGCTTGTCTTAGGTTCACAGGGGGAGCCTCTGGTGCATCAGGTCCAGGTGTCACATGTGGTTTAATACAGGACAAAACTAAGAGAACTCTTGGAGAGGCCTCCAAAGGGTCAGCTGAAAGAGCTTCCAGGGGATCAATAAGTGGGACTTCACAAGAATCACCTTTACTTATAAATTCAAGGCGATTATCAGGAAAGTTTGGTGAGGGATCATTGGGATCTGTTTTTGATGGGGCCTGTGGGGAAACATTTGGGGGACTTTCTGTCGAAATGGCAGTGGGGAATTCATCAGCATTGTTAGGGAGATCTTCCACTGGTACAGTGACCAGCCATATAGGACGAGCCTCAAATGAGCCAGGAGAAACTGCTACTCTAGGACAAACTGGGAAACGTATAGGAAGTTTAGTAGGAACTCAGGTGACAGAATCTACAACTTCATCTGGTTATTCTTCAAGTGGAATTACTGCAGGACTTGGAGGGTCCTCTTTTTGTCAGAGTCCTTTATCTAGCAGTCCATCCAACCTTATGTCTTGTCAGATTCTCCCAAATCAAGCACATCCCAAAACTTTGCAGCAGTTTGCTGGAGGAGGTAGGACTACCAGTGGAATAAACCTCTTCCAGTCACCCTCACAAGGGTCACCATCTTGTGTTAGAGGACAGAAAATTCAACAGCCTGCTGCTGGTTCCCCACCTTCCATGAGTCACTTTAGCTTGGCAGGCCTTCAGTCTGGTTGTTTGCCTCACCAGATGTCCCTGGAAAGGTCAGCATTAGCTTCCTTGGCTCAGTATGGGTCAGCGAACGCCTCTCCTTGCCTTACCCCAGTTGCACGCAGTCCAACAGTACAAAGTCCAGTGGCAGGCAGGACCTTTCAATATAGTGACCCTTCAAGTGTTGCAGGATCCCACAGTTCTTTGCTCATGCCTCAATCTCCTCTCCTTTCACAGCTTACCAGTCTGCCACAAACAACAGGGAGAGATTCTCCTCTAACTCAGTTTTCTGAGGACCTGAAATGTTTATCAAGCTCACACCCATCTTTACCACAGGAGGTGGCCCTCAGCCACCAAACTCCTTGCTCCTCCATGGAATTTTACCCCTCTCCATTTTCCTCACCAACTCTTGTACCCAAACCTTGTGGCTCAATACCAGGGCATATGACTCCTCCAAAACAGGAGTCTCCAGTAAACCTTCACCAGACTCAGTCACCTAGATCTTCTCCGGCACCTCCTTCACAGAGGGGCTCTGGTGCCTACTTGTCAGATCTAGAACCTCAAACTGCTATTTCTAAATTTCCTTCCAATTTGTGAGGATGGATCACACCCTCCTGTGCTCCCCTGAAATGAAACACACAACTATTGGTACTCATACAATTCTTTTATGTTGTCAGACTTCATTGTGTTCCACCTCTCATTTTACTAGGATTTTAAAACTTACTGTGAATCCAAAATATTTTACCAGGGAACTCAGAACTGTAAGGTACTACTTATTTGTTCAATACATTGTTGTTTTTATTTATATATGCTGTATATAGGAAGAAATATATTAAAATTAACAGGTTTTATTAAGGGACTGGGAGGGTGTGAAAGTGATCTCCGGACATTCAATTTATTTTGCTTTCTAAGACTATGCCAAATTTATCTCATTCTGTTTGGGAAGGGAATCAGTGGAATACATAAAATTGTTTTTATTGCAGGAACCTATGCACTACTACTGCATGTATTAAGGCTTTTGTGTGTTTTAAGATGACTATCAAAATCCTTTTTTAGCTTAAAAGACATAATCTGACACACATTGACTCTTGTATCTTTTGATTTAGGATCACATATTGTTGATCCTTTAATGTATTTATTAGATTGTACTTATTTATCCTCTGTATAAAGTTTTCAAAACCTTGAAAGATGAAAATGAGATTTTAGGATACCAAAAAGACTTTTACTGTGGAATAACTGTTCACCTCTCTAGCACCCAACAATTTCGCTTTTATACCATTTTATTGTAACCGTGCTGGTATTTGAGGCAAAGGGAGAGGGGTTTGTTGAGCGACCCTCTGTCTCAGTTTCTCTACATGAGTATGACATGGACAATTTTTTGCAGTCCTCAACCATATTCTTACAAGCTCACCTTGTCTTCCAAGCTCTTGACACTTAAGTGTATTAAGTTTGTATTGTTTCTCTTCCAGGCCGTTCTTAACTGTTAGCAGTTAAGTGTAGCAGCAAGTGTTATAACATTAAATGCAAGGGAAGAGTTTAGCCAGACAGATTAAAATTGAAATAGCCTTTTCTAAACAAAAACTAGGACTTCCAAATACCATTTTGTGTGATGCATTACATAGCCCTCAGATTATAAGGAAATACTTCTTTGTTTGATAGTAATAAAGCCTATTGGGAAAGTAATAAAGATTATAATGATTTTTTTTCTCTCCCTATGGGGATTCTGAGTTGCAATCCAACATATTGAAACAACACATACATTTTTACATACATACAACAGAAATGTTGGAAAAATGTTATCTACTTGAGACTATAGTTTATCTGTTTAAGCATTACTTCCTCTGTTGTAGCTGCTTAATGGTTAACATGACTGTGCCTCCTTAGTAAAGTCTAGTGCTGAGTTTGTGATATTGAATGTATGCATGATGATTTCAATGAGGGCTGTAGCTATGATTGGTGCACTGCAGGAGAACTAGCCCTCAAGAAGTTAAGAAACTGTTCTGAAACTATAAAAGTAACTGATTGCATATCTATATATTAACAGCAAGCATTTCGGTATCTGCGGTGTGTTTAAATAAGGCACACAAGCAATGGGTGAGTAGTTGATAAGATAAACTAAAAAAGTTACTTGTAAGATGCCTGAAACAACACTTTGTTTAGTCCCACACTGAACAATGGGTTGAAGAGATGTCCAATTTCAGTTATTCTTATGTCTCTTGACTATTTAATTAGGTTTTAAAGAAGTGTCCAATCATATTTACAATAGTGCAAACAAAGGAGCTGATAAATAGCTTCAGTAGTAAAACCATCCATTTTATTCAGCCCAACCCGTCCATTCTTTCAACATTTGCTTGATTGCTGCCAAGTCATTATCATGGTCAGTTATAATTGTCAGCTATCACAGACTTTTTAAGCAATGGCAAATTTGATGCAGGACAACAAATTATTGTCCCATCTGCCTAAAGTAAACTGTTGCTGCACATAATATTTCAAGTTCTTCCTCTCTAAAAAGGCGTTAAAATATAAAAACATGCACAGAAATCTGACAGAAATCAGATGAATACCAAAGTAGTGTAAATCATCTAAAATTGTACTTGATTTTTATGTGTACGGTACTGCTTATTAAAAAAAAAACAGGTTCAAAGAGTTCCCTGCAATATCAGGAATTGTTGGTTTTAATTGTTTTTTTTTTTTTAAGTCAGTTATGTTTGTCTTGTTTCTCATGATAGTTTTAGTTATTTTAGTGTCAGAATTCAAGAATTATATGAACAAAAAGAAACAATGAGTAGAAGGAAGCCATGAGTGAACTGAAATCTCCCAACAAGTCATTATGTAATATTTGAGAGGCCAAATTTGGATATTAGTAAAAAACAGAAGCAGTGATAGGAATGTCTGCATCAAAATTTGAGTTCAAAAAGGGAAGATGTATTAGAACATTTTCTGACTGGTTATTCCAGTGAGGAGTAAGAAATCAGCAAAGCCAGCAAAAAAAAAAAAAAAATGTAATTGGAACAGCAACTTGGAGACGTATTAAACCAGCGTCCTACGGAGGAGATTATAAGCACTAACTCAGTCTGCCTGTAATATTTCACAAAGGTAAACTACTGTTTCTGATGAAAAGACACTCTAATCACCATGAGGCCATCTGCAGTTAGTTTACATAAAACATATCTTTGCTCTAAGAAGTTTTTAGCTGGAAAGCAGGGTAACATTTGTACAGGATGCAAGCCTTTTGCAAGGCAATGTGGGGGAACACTGGACACACCACCATGCATGCATAGAGACACACAATAGCCTACACCTATTCTGATTAACCAGTTAGGTTTCTGGAGTGGGAGAAAGTCAGGGTACCTGGGAATAGGCCAGTCCTGCAAAGGCAGAACGTGAAAAATCCTAGATATCATTGGGCATATTTCCTTTAAAAAATGTTATCTTTCAAATAAAAACAAAAACAATTTTTTCGTTTACAGATGTAGGCATTATTAGAAGAATACAAACACTGTCTGAAAATAGAAGTTCTTAGATTACTCAAACAGCTGTTTTTATGCTAGATGTTTGCAGTTTAAAATCACTGATTCACTTTATAATATATATGAAAAGAAAGCTGATTTTGATTTGTTTTTGGTTCAAATTAAACATGACCAAATTATGATTATTAGAGTTTGAAAAATACAGTATAAAGTATCTCTTAGATGTTTGTAAAATTTTAAAAATCTGCACCATAATATTCCTACCTGGGCACTTATTGATGTTAAAAAGCTGTCAGATCTTTTTTGGTTAAGCCATATGGATTCGGAATGATGAATAAAGATAGCAGAAACTCAAGTAGGAAAAGAAATCCACCTTCTAAATACTTGATTTATCCCTTCTGAGCTATCAGGTCTGTTTCAAGGTTGAACAAGGATATATTTGGAAGCTCTGCTTCAATTTTAAAATTTTTAACCTGAACAAGGAGTGTCTTATTCCTTTAATTACTTCTTGAAAGGTAGTGCATTCTGTTAATTTTATCCTTAAGTGGTTTATATGAGCTACGTCAGCAGGCACATAGAGATGATCAAATAATTTCTTGATAGTATACTGTATGTCTGGTACAGTTTTCACACAACTTAACACACTTTTCCACTATACATGATTAAAGACAATCATACCATGAAGATGTTTTCCTTAAAACCTTTGGTAGTGTACAGTACAGCCCTTTAAATGTACGACCATAAAAAGTCTTTCAAGAAGCTTTTCATTGGTCAGGAAAGTGTGTACACAGCGGACGGAGGCATCACTAAAGTCCCAAAGGAGCCATGCCGTGATATGATCTTCATGTTTGACTGTAGCTCATCACAAAGACAGACACAGGTTCCACTTAGACAGCTGAGTCCCACTTTCAGTCACAGTACTCAGTCGCAGGAGCCTAATTTAACAAGACATATTTGTAATCCCTTGACCCCCACAAGCTATCACAGACTTCCACATAGAGGTGGCCATGCTGGCCTCTCATTACAACTCTGTGAAGTTCTTTTAATGAGGTGCTCCAATGCTTGAAATGACAGTTTGTTTGCAGACAGGCATATGGATGCCAGCTCTCAAACTGCTCACTTCCATACTAACTGTAGGAAAATAATAATAGAAAGAAAATATACATGTGATGTTCTCTAAACATGCATAAGTGCTTCTTTCACTGGCAAATCTATGGCCAACTGATTATCCACATTGCAAACCCAGTAATCCAACACCCAATTTTTTCTTGAAAAGGCTTCTTTTATTTAAAGCATTAAAAAAAAAAGTAACAGTTATAGGTAAACCATCAGCTCAAATTACTAAAAAGACAAGTTTCTATGAAATCTATCAGTAGTAACTGTGTCCCTTTTATCTGTATTTGCTATCAGTTGCTCAACATTTTCTCAGCAAAGCAGTAAAACAACCGTGTAACATCTCCATTCCTAGCTGCACCTGAAGTCTCTTTGTTCTGACCTTTTATAAGCCATTAATTGAAGTTTAGAATATCAGTGTCTGATGTATCACACAGGATCTAATCATGTAACATCTCATAGATTTAAAATTTAGCATTGTTTTATTCCCCTACACATATTCGATCGCTGAAAAAAGGTGTTTCACTAACAGCTCCTGAATGTAACACCTGTATATGTAAAAAGCAGCGCATGGCAGACTATTTCCTGAAAGCCACAAGAAGTGATAACACTCTGCATCAGAGAAGAAACAATCAAATAACTATGACATTCACAGCTCATATGACAGGCTCCAAAGCCTTAAATAGATTTATTCCGTCTTCTCATCAGATGATGATACTGACATGTTGAAGGAATAATGTAGCAGAACTTTTGGCAGCAGGAAGAGCGGCTACTCAGGAAGATATATTCCATGTAGTACTTGTACTGATAGGTGTCCTTCCACATGCTGTGTTGCTCTTTGTGATTGTCCCTGAGTGCATCCAAAGAGGTGGATATAGGTTGCTGCTGATTGGAACGATTTGAGGTTGGCCTATGTTCATCCGCATGTAGCAATTGGTCAGTGTTTGGGATGTTGCTGACTATTAGTCAAGCTCCTGGGTTCAGGTTATTTTAAAGTTGGACAGAAGAGCGGACAAGTGACAGCTTAACATTGAACCAGATAAATGAAGACAAGATATCCTGGATATAGTCTGGTGAATTCTTACAAACACTGGCTTGTAAAAGTATTCATATGCCTTGAATTTGCATCTTCTTTCCACATCACAACCACAAAATTTTGTGTGTTATTGTATAGATTTTATGTTAGAATCCAATATAATTAAATTAAATTAGTGAAGTAACTGTTTTTTTTTTTTTTTATAATAATATATGAATAGTGTAAGTAATTTGGATTCATCCCCTTCATAACAAGAAAGAAGCCCAGTAAAAGCAATGGCTTCACAAGTCACATTAATTGGAGGTGTAGTTAACCTGTGAGTACTATCATAACGAATGAAGCTGTTTGGCGAAGGCCTCAAAGCTTTTTAAACTGAGGACATGATTTTTGACTGATTTAGCCTCCATTTTTCAGTTAGGGAAAGGCTGTGTCAGTCTGTACTAGTTCAAGCCAGATAACGGTGGCACAGAAATAGATGGAATAAAGATAGGAGTCTGTATCCTATCTTTTTGAGAAGGAAAACAACCCACAATCATTTTCAGTCACATACAAATGTTTGCAAACACACTTTTCTCACATCAATTGAAAAATAGAAGCTGGGACATGACATTGACTGAGAGCTGTTTTGTTACTTCCTTAGAAACTATTTCTGCAGCTTTCGTATACAACATCAAAAAATAAGCAACCATAAATGCGAAACAGCCGTAGGTATAATGCAGGCCATCTACTAAATAATTGCTATGAAATGGTGATGAAAAACAAGAGGGTTATAATAAATTCACCGCATAATGAAGGACCTTACTAAAATGAACCAAAGCATTTTTACAAAAAAGGTTACAAAAATTAAATTATTTATATTTCTGATTATTTTACCTCAATGGGCATTTTATCATTGATTCTTAATTTTAATGCACCAGATCAACCCAAACATGTAAATGTCTGTTAAGATAGGAAAAAAAGGAAAATGTTTTGGACAAAACTTCATTCAAAAACTCACAAACATCCTCAAAAACTTTAATGTTCCAACCTCCTAATGAGACTTTGGCGAAAACATAAAAAAATAAATTCACTCAAGGTTAAACCTCCTATTTTAAATAGCTTTCTTTACAATTTAATGGGAAGTGGAAA